ACTCAGTACTTTCTCTAGGGATACATTTAGCTGTCACTTAAGATTCATTTTACAAAGTCTCAATAGAAAGGTCCGGTCTTTTTTACAAAATGATCATCTTTGGAAAAATTATAAACAGCTCTTTTCTATGAGTGTGTGTGTGTGTATGTGTTCAGTGGTAGTTCTTAAAACAGAATCCTGTAAACGATGAGATACAATGGTTAACTCAAATTCTTTCGATTGTCAAGCGAGTCATGACGACTCGCACTATGTATTCTTTCATAGATACATATCAACACATTAGTTCTGATATTTCCCTGCTTAAATATCATGTGTTCAACGAGATTACATTCTTTCAGTAGAGAGTTAGCGATGTTTGCATTCCGTTACTTGTTAGAATAATATAATAGATGTAAAGATTGTTCTCATAATTAGTTTGAACTAATCATCATTTACGATAAGATATATTTCAATATAAGTTAAAACACAATATACAAGAAAATGTAGTATATATGTTAATTAATAATCACATTTGTTAGTCGCATTATCAAATAAATAAATAGAATAATCTATGAATTAATCGATTAGTTATTTTGGTAGATACTAGTAAATGACACATAGATAAATGTTGTTTTTATTATATGTAGCTTTTTATATTGACTTATTCATCTTGTTAATAATAATAATATGTTTGTCTATCAAAGTTCTTCGAATATTTTGAGAATATAGAGGAAAAAAATGAAATTTTTTTGCGTTTGTTTTTTATTTTTAAAAATATTTTCGAAATAAAATAAATAGATTTTTTAATAAAATATTCTATCGAATGATTTCTATTTAAAAAATTGATTGTAAAAAAGAAAAAAATCTTTTCTTCTTTGTTCCCATATAAACTGATATTGATTAATAGAAAGAAAGAAAAAAAGATTTTTTACGTTTTGTTATTGTTTTGAGAAAACATATATTGAATAGCTATTTGATAAAAGATAATATATTAAGATTTAAAATTGATAGGATATATACTAATATATATAAATCGTCTCTTTATGTTCAAATTCATCATTTAATTATAATTATTTATTTTTCAATGATAAATCACATATTCGATTGGACTTCCAAGTTTAGTTGATCGTTTTAAATTTTGATTTGTTCGAATAGTAGTTAGAAATATTTATTTTATATGAATATTCAATTAAAGAGATTTTTTAAAACTTATTTCAAAAGACTAATCTCATTATTGAAGATGATAATCTTTAATATCATTGTCAATTTATTCTCATTAACTATATAAATAAATCGATGAGACACCAAACACAAACATTATTCTATCAATGATTATTTTAATTAAATTTATTTTATTTTTAATGTCAGTGATATCTCGATTAAAAACTAATTTACGATTGAGAACAATTTCATATAAAATAATATGTTGTTATTTACTATAAATCTATGTATCAACCAATATTTATATTCTATTTGATATAGTCAATAATAATAGATCATTGATTTATAATGATGATTAATATATAATAGAGAGTGATCGAAATGTAAAACACTTCCAAAGTAATCGATCAAGAGCAAGACAATCAATCAATCATCGAATTTCGAGATGAAACAAACAAATGGTGGCCTTTTTTCATCAAATATGATTTCGTGAAGTCTATGTGATTAATATCTAGTCAAATTAAATTAGATCATCAACATATAGCTTATCAAAAGTTTTCAAACTCTTTTAACTGAGAAAGAAAATCTCAGTCTTTTATCTATTTGTCTTCATTTTGAAAATGCAAGATGATTAAATCATTTCTATACTCGACGAATATTCGACATTAAATTCAATAGAAGAATAAATTTATATCTAGCTTGAAAATTTCAATATGAAGAATAAATAAGTTGATTGAAGAATTCGAATGGAATAAAATCTATATTAAAACAAAGAATAAATTATTTGAAAAAAAGTCTATTTTAAATAATTCTATATATAAGCTCATCGAATCGAATCGAATAGTAAATTATATATATTCAATGTGATTTAGTGTTTTCATAGTGATTATCGTTTTATATTAAAATAATCTTTTCACCTTTTTTTATATTTTTAATATAAATTGAAATAAAAGTAAATGTTCGAGATTTATTTTGATCACTGAATATATATTATAACATGTGACAACCTTATTTAAATGTTAATATAAATAAATAACTAATAAAACATATTAATTTATTTTCTATAAATAAAATCTGTTAAAGGATTTTTAGTAAAAATAAAAACATTTTATTTCAATGTATTTTTTCTTTTTATTTTTTGAGAAAAGTTCTTCAAACTAAAAGAAAATTTAAAAAGATAATTAATTAATTAATTAATTAAAACAATTCATTATGAAAAATATTTTGTAAATATTAATGATGTTTTGTTTGCTTAAAAAAAACGAGAAAAATAAAAGATTAATTTTATTATTTAGAAAAAAACCTTTTTATATGATGAAAAAAAAAAAGAAATATTTTTTAAAAATTTTAATCATTGACAATATATGTTTAAGATAATATATTCTACTCGATTTAAAATCTTTGATATAGAAAAGTAATAAATAATTCTTAGATTGAAATTCTCCAGTGATATAAAAACAATTATTGACAGTCAAAAACAATTAACATAGACAGACAAACAGATGCTCGATTATCAGCTGATTAATCAACTAACTGCAAACAGATTTCTCGTCGATATCATCAAAACAAACCTGAACCGGCTCGGGGCCTCGTTATAAGACAATGATACGATTATACAGCATAAACTAACTCACTTTATTGTTGATTATCATTATATTATTATTAATTAATATCATAAAATAATATGAATTTATTTCATAACAAAAAATGAATTCAATTTAATAAATTAAAATGATACGGGTTACAAAAATTTCTAATTAAATGTTTGAATGATGATTATATTAAAAGTTGATTTGGTAAATGAAAAACAAATTTTTTTTTATTTATTTTGTTAATATATAAATAGAATGAAGATACATTTAATATTGGGAATAACCTGAACTATTATTTAATTAAATTAATATTAAATGAAAAATAATATTATATAGAATAAACATAATTTACTCATTCATATATTATTTTATTTATATTTAAACTTAGTTTTATATTACTTTTCTTTTTTTTCCAATGAAAATCATTAATGATCAACGAATTGAAAAATTAAAAGAACTTTTTAAATCTTTTCAAATTAATTATTAAAAATTCTTTAAGAAAAAAATCGTTTGAAATGTAAAATAAAATAAAAAAAAAACAAAAGTTTTATTTATATAATAGTTCTTAATCAACATCAACATCATCATCATCATTTAATTCAATTGAATCATTTAATCAAGATATGTTTCATCGAAAAATATTTTTTTTATAATAAATTTATTCATTCGATTAATTTTGGGAAAATATGAATGTTAAATAATTAAAAATAATCATATAGATAGATTTGCTCTTTTTTATTTAAATAGATTTTCCTTTATGAAATAAATAATTCTTTAACATATATATATATATGATTTACTAGATTTTTTTGGTTTTAGAATTCTAAATCAATAAAATTTGTTCTTCTTCTTAATTTAAATGTATGAGAGATTAGTTTTATCTTTTATCAAAATAAATTTTCATCATTTATTATTTAATTGAAAGCAATAAATCAATCTGATTATCATCTTCAATAAAATCATCTTTATTTATTAAAATTGAAATAAAAATTAAATCTAAATATAATTTAATTCATTGTAGATCATATATATATACTTATATTATATTATAGTCAATAATATAAATGTTATTCAGTTAAGAAAAAATATTATCCTTGAGATAATACGATATAATATATCATTGATTATAGAGAATCCAAAACAGAATATATTAGTTTTCTTAATCATAGAAACATTGTCATATGACTATAGAGAACAGAGAATATATATATAATCATAAAGGTTTTTACTCTTTAATTCAATATCGAGTATATATATATAATACATATAAATATGACCTTCGTTCTCTCATTATTCTACACAGAAAACATAATAAATCAATAGGAAAAAGGAAACAAACAACTAACAATAATAATAGAAACTTAAGTAATGCTTATCTTTTTTCTTTTTTTTTTTTTTGTTTGTTTGTATGATTAGTTAGTTGTACATCGATCGAGAAACATTCTTGTTGGTTTTTTTTGTCGTATCTTTCTGTATACCCAACGGAGAAATCATTGTGTATATTAAGAAGAAAAAAAGAAGGAGGGGAGGGGATGGAAGGGGAGGCAATACATAGTCGATATATAATATCAGCATTTTACTCTTGTTCGATATCAATAAAGAAAGAAGATAATAACAATAACAATCTAAGAAGTTCTCTTATTGTTAAACATGGGTATATTAAAAGGAAAAGATTCGGCTTTATCACAAATTGAACAATCTAAAACAGCTTTTTTGGCAACATTATCCGATGTTGAACAAGGTCCATCAACACATACAATGCCACCTAAAGATCATTATATATTAAAATTTAAACGAGAAACAATTAAAAATTTAAAAGGACGTGTTTATGAAACAATGAAACAATATTCATATGAACAATTAGGTAATATTTAAATTAAATTAAATTAAATAAATATTATTTATTAATTATTTATTTAAAAGGTGAAAGTATTCCTGCATTTATTAATAATAAAGAAACGGATGATTCTCAAATAGGTTTACTTCGTCCAACAAAACCGGCAGTTCCAACAGTTGGTCATCAATATGTTGCTTGTATTTATGAAGATCTTAAAATAATTGATTGTCTTATTGAAATTGATTGGAGTGAAGTTGATGAATTAGTCAAAACAGCTAATGCAAGACGTAAATCCCTCGTTTAATATATTTATTTTAGTCGGTTTTTTTTTTCTTGAAAATTTTCTCTTTTATTCATACATATTAACCTTATTATGATTTTTTTTTATTGTTTAATCGTATAATACATTTATTTCATTTGATTGCATGATATCATTTATTTAAGAAATAAACAAGATTTAATAATATAATAAAATCTATTTTAAGAAATAGATGTGAACTAGTTGATCGACATCCACATATTGTTTCTGATTGAGTTGTATCCTCTGGTTGAATTGTAGTCTCTGGTTGAGTTGTAGTCTCTTGTTGAGAATTAGTTGAAATAATTGGAATATTTGTTGTTGTTTGAATATGAGTAGATGTTTCTTCTATTGAATAATCAGTTGATATTGAATTTGAAGTTGTTTCATCAATATATATATTTGTTGTTATTTGATTAGTTATTGTTTCTTCTATTAAACTTGTTGTTGATATTGAGAGAATCGTTGTTTCTTTGATTTGATTTGTTGTTGGATTTGTTTCTTCCGAACATTTTTTATCAAATTCATATTTACCTGATGAACAAAAACAAATAAAATGTGAATTATTATTATTAATACCAAAAAAAGTTGGATCTTCGGAACATAATGCATCTGATTGACCACATATATTTTCACGATCACAAATTCCTATTTATAATAATAATAAGAGAAAAAACAAATAAGTTAGTCAATTATAAAAAAATAAAAAAAACAATTAATATAATATAACTAACGACATGGACGATTTATTGTTGATTGAAGATTATCAGGACAAGTACATAATACTTTATAATCATTTGTTATAAAACATTGATAACCATTTGATGGAATAAAATCTTCGGTTAGATTGCATACATCACATCCTATTTAATCAATATATATATATGTATAAATAAATATTTGAATATAATTTACTATTTCGTTGAAATGGATTCGAACTTATAATATTAATTAATAATAAAGCAATAAAATAACTTGTTAGCATTTCTCTCGTTATAAATAATTGAAAAAGAAAAACGGAATTTATCAATGCTTTTAATATTAAAATAACAGATGTCTTTTTTTCTCATTCAATTTATGATTCATTTTTTCAAATTTCTTTTTTTCTTTATTTAACAATTATTTATTTATCTTGGTTGATTCGAATTTTTGTTTGATTTAAAAATAAATATCATCAAATATTTCCTTATTGGTTTTATTTTATTTCTATAAGAATAGGTTTTTTTTTTTTTTTCTATAGCAATAATTAATAAACTAAAACCAAATTACAATAAATTAATTCTTCTTTATTGACACATTTATTTATAAAAGTTAAACTATTTTTTATGATTATCAATTTTATTTGAGATCATTTTTATAAATAATGAAATATTTATATTTAAAAAATACTAATAACTGATTTAATTCAAGACAATATACTTAGTGAAAGTTTAAAATAGAATTATTCTCACTTTGACCAGTTGTCATGCTGATTTAACAAATAAGGAACTGTCTGTCCTTTCTATCCTAGACTGTTCATTTTGTCAATATAATAACAATTTTTAATGATTTTCTCAATAGATAGATAATGAGTTCGAAATTACTCTTCTATATATAAATAAATATTTCTAACAATATTTCTTTCTTTTCATTTAATTTAATGATTATAATGATAACAATGTTATTTCTGTTCGATATAAAGAAATAAACAATAAAAATGTTTTTATTTTGTTGATTGATTATTTTGATATATAAATATAATCGAACAAATATTTTTCTAACTTATTCATCGATTTTTAATTTATTTAATAAAACTAAATAACATATCGAAATTTCATAACTTTAAATCTGAAGAATCTATTCTAACAACCTTTCATTTTATTTATTTATTCATATAATTAATATCCTTGCTTTTTTTTATTTTTATTAAAATCTATAAAATATTTTTTGTTAAACAATCAATGTTTAACTAAATATATTATTAAAATATATTCGAACAATAAATATAACATATGTTAGAAGTTAATGAATAAACAAGTTTTTAATATTAAACTTTATATATTTTAATTAATCAATATCATTTATATATAAATATATAGTCAAATAATTCTATTAATATATACTGTAATATATATTAATTCGTATATACTATATTGAAATATAAACGAGTTTTAAAATAATAATTAATATATTAACAAAATAAAGATTTAAATTGTTTTAAATGCAATAAACAAGAGAAAATAATTTCATATTAACATAATAAATATAATTTTATATATGTTTTAGTTAAAGATACGAAGATTAATTATATTCGATCAATGTCAGACCAAACCAATGACATTTGTTTATCGTTATGTCATTATCAATATATCGACATCAGTTACATTTAATTATAAGTACAAATTGAAACGAACGACGCATACATTCAAATATCACTTTAACACCTATTATTATATATATACTAGTTATTTATTTATATATATATATTGAAATTTGTTCAATTATTAAATTGACATTATTTTCATATATAGAATATATAGAGGAATGGTCACTCATGTTGATAGATAATTATTCTATTTTGTTATCTTTCTAACAGATGAATATTATATTAAAACAGTAAGATTTAATAATTATATATAGCTATAATGACGTTGGAATATAGCAAAGAACGAAAATAAATAATCTAGTAAATAAAAGGATAGATCTATATCATTGGAATAATTCAATAGAATAAGAAAATCGAATAGAATAATTCTCATGATCTTTATTAATATATCAGAAATATTGTTTTTCAACCGTATAGAATATTGTTTAATATTGAACAATTTATTTTAATAAGAAAGAAAATCTAATCCTAAGATAAAACAATAGATAAATTATAATTGATATTATCAAAATAATTAATAGATACTCTTCACATTCATTAATAACCTTTATTAACCGAATTATCTATAACAATTAAAAGTATATTGAATTAGTTCTTTTTTTTTTGTTTTATTCAAAAAAACTCCTAATGAATAGTGTCATTTTAATATTAATCTTTGATTTAATTAAATTATTATTTAAATATTTTTCAATCGAACAAAAAAAAATAATTAATTGAAGAAATAAAATAAAAATTGTTAATATAACATTGATTGATCATTGTTGATAGATATTTAACAGACATTAATTGATAAACATTATTCCAACTTTAAAGTAAATTAATGTCAATTTTAATTTGAAACAAAAAAAAACAAGAACTATTCAAACAACATTTTATGTAAAATATAATGAGTATAATTAATATATTCATTTATAATAAATAATAATAGTTTCTATCGAAAATTTTATTTTCTCATTGATCGATTTATTTATTAGAATTCATTGAATATTAACTTTAATTAAGTCAAAAACAATATCAAATATCAATTTAAATTTAAATAAATAAATAATGTAGCTATTTATATTTAAGCGAATTTATTCTTATTATGAAATAAATCTCATTATTTCAATTTAATTATGAAACTTTTTTTTATTTTCATTTCAATGGGGACAGAAAAAAAACCCTTTTGATTGTTTTTTCTAAAACTAATATATTTTCCTTGTTTAAAAATAAAATTATTTAATCTATATCATTAATTAAATGAATAAACAAATCATCTTTTACTTTCTGTTACGTATATATAAGTAGTCTTGTCATTGGTTAACTTATCTAACACAAACAATATATTATATAGATTATTATCTTTAGTTTTTTTATATTATTAAGATTTTAAATAAAGAAGAAAAAACTGACTAGAATATATATATGTTATAGTTATCGTTAAAATCAATATTATTGATAACAGTTTGCAAAAAGAATTAAAATTAAGTAAAATGATTCAATTTCGAAGTGAACTGTTTATTTTTTGATCATTGAAAAAATTTCTTAATAAAAACTGATTTAATTAAATAAAATAATTATTTCGAATAACAAAAAAAAAACAAAACATATTCGATGAAACTAAAAAGAAAATTTATTTGGGAAGAAAAAACTGCTAGTGACATCTTTATTAAAGTTGTTTATAGAAGAAGAAATAAAGCATAAACCAATGAAAAAAGTTGTTGTTGTTTATAACTGTTGTTCGTCTATAAATATATGTGTTATGATGAAAGATGCGTCATTGTTAAAAAGTTGAAGTCAATATAAGATGGTTTACTTCAACTCTCAAATAGCTGATTCAATAGCTCCATATCGTAATGTACGTCGAGTACAATTTGGTATATTATCTCCTGATGAAATAAAACGTATGTCAGTTACAAATCCTCCTATTGAACATCCAGAATTAATGGAAGGAGGAAAACCTAAAGAACGTGGTCTTATGGATCCACGTCAAGGTCCACCTGATAGAAATTCTAAATGTAAAACATGTGCAGGATCTTATATTGAATGTCCTGGACATTTTGGTCATATTGAATGTGAGAATATTTATTCGTTAAGAAAAAAAAAAAAATAATTCTATTTATCTATATATTTAGTAACAAAACCAGTTTATCATGTTGCTTTTCTTTCAAAAATTTTGAAAATTTTACGTTGTGTTTGTTTTTATTGTTCAAAATTACTTATTGATCCAAATGATCAAAAAATAATTGATATTATGAAAAAAACAAAAGGACAATATCGTCGACGTCTTGCTTATCTATTTGATGCTTGTAAAGGACAAAAAATTTGTAAAGGTATTTTTAGTTTTTCTATCTTAAATAAAAGAAAATAATTTTAATTAAATAGGAAGTGAAAATGAAAATCGAAGTGAAGTAACAATAAAATATTCCGGTGGTTGTGGTCGTATTCAACCAAAATATCGTCGATCAGGTTTAGATGTATATGTTGAATGGAAAGAAGCTCAAGATGAAAATCAAGAAAGAAAAATGAAATTATCAGCTGAACGTGTTCTTGCTATATTCAAATCAATACCTGATAATATATGTCATCTATTAGGTATGGATCCACGTCAAGCGAGACCGGATTGGATGATTATTACTGTTTTACCTGTTCCACCTATGGTAGGAAAATTATATTTATTTCATTTATATATAAATTGAGAATTTTTTCTTATTAAGTGTGTTCGTCCATCAGTATTAGTATTTGGTACAGCACGTAGTCAAGATGATTTAACATATAATTTAGCAAATATATTAAAAGCAAATAAAACATTACGTGAAGATGAACAACGTGGTGCAGCATCACATATATTTGATGAACATCTTCAATATCTTCAATATCATTGTGCAACATTAATTGATAATGATATGCCTGGTATGCCACAATCATGTCATAAAAGTGGTAGACCACTTAAATCAATTAAAGCTCGTCTTAAAGGTTTAACTTTTTTATTTTATTTCATGAATAAATAAATAAATATATTTATTTTTTGTAGGAAAAGAAGGACGAATTCGTGGAAATTTAATGGGAAAACGTGTTGATTTTAGTGGTCGAACAGTAATAACACCAGATCCAAATTTATCAATTGATCAAGTTGGTGTTCCACGTTCAATAGCACAAAATTTAACAGTACCTGAAATAGTAACACCATTTAATATTGAATGGTTACAAGAATTAATTCGTCGTAATGCAGCTAAATATATAATATGGGATACAGGTGATAGAATTGATTTAAGATTTCATCCAAAACCATCGGATTTACATTTACAATGTGGTTATATTGTTGAAAGACATATGATGGATGATGATTTAGTTGTATTTAATCGTCAACCAACATTACATAAAATGTCAATGATGGCACATCGTGTTAAAGTATTACCATGGTCAACATTTCGTTTAAATTTATCTGTAACAACACCATATAATGCAGATTTTGATGGTGATGAAATGAATTTACATTTACCACAATCAGTTGAAAGTAAAGCTGAATTAAGTCAATTAATGACAGTACCACGTTTAATAATAACACCACAATCAAATCGTCCTGTTATGGGTATTGTACAAGATACATTAACAGCTGTTAGAAAAATGACTAGACGTGA